TTTTTTTCTTTTTGATTTTTTACCTGGATTACTGAGATGCATCAGGACACTTCATGTTAAAAAAAAACTTAATCAGAGCCACAGTTATTTAAAAATCATATGGATTAATCAGTTCAATGAAATATGCGTAGAATAACAACTATACTTCATATTATACTAAACGGAAGTTATGTTCACTATGCGTCCTCCAGTGGTTTGTACACTTCCACCTAGTGGTCAATCTTTGTAAGTGCACCACAAGTTTCCACAAGATGGCAAATTAAATTCACCTGAATACCTGGCCAGTTTTCAACAGTAGATGATTCATGAGGATGGAGGACAAAATAAAGTTGTTTTACATAGATGTAACAATATAAATGCCAAAATTTGTGTTGTTGATGCAGTTCAGGAAGTATTAACGGTAAAACATTTAGGCAGGTGGACTGCTTTCAGTGTTGACTCGTTTACCAAAATAATAGAAAAAACAATTCGAATTACCATAAAACACAGAAAAAAAATTATTGATTCAGAGTAAAAAATATCACTTTAATTTCAGGTTAAAAAATCTAAACAAACTAAATAAAAAAAAAATGCATCCATAAGAGAAGTAAATTCAGGAAAACAGAAACATCTTAATATAATTTTCAGCCGAATCGAAGCTCATTTTCAAGTCCATAGATTTTTGCCTTCAGTGCCATCAGCTCACTCTGAACCTTTTTGGTCCTGGAACTGGTCTGTCGGACTTCGTGCAGAATGGCTAAGTCCTGGTTGGGGCCAATATTCAAGGTGACCTAAAGAGAGARAAAAAAAGTTTTTTTATTATTATTACTGTTTATGCATCTAAAATGTGCTAGTTCACAACCTATTTACCTTTAGAAGCTGTTTCTCTACATCTTTGAGCTTTTGTCTGAGGTGTTTCAGGTCCGTCCTGAAGCCTTCTACCTCCATCGCTCTCCTCTTCTCTAAAGCCTCGTAGCGCTGCGTCATCAGCTGGAGACGCTTGGCCATTTTGTCTGAACGCTCCTGCACATTTAGGTAAAATTATCAATAACAATTACTGTTGCCATCAGTCGGAAGGTGTGCAAAATCAATGCATTATACCATGAATATCTCCCTGCTGACGTCTCCTTTCTCCCTGATCTGAGACAGTTCTGTCTCCAGGGTAATACACTGCTCTCTGTACATCTCTGCCAGACGGTGAGCCTGCTTCAGATCCTCATGGACCACCTCAGAACAAAACAAAAAGACGACAACAAAAACCAAAACAAGAAACTTTTCAATAATAATTTCAATATTCAACTTTAAAACATTGTTCTCTTTAAAATTTAAAGGTTTTGCTAATTTTAGCTTCTGTTCTGCTTCTTTTAACGACTCAGTTGTAGCTTATTTAGCAAATTTTCTGAAACTCGTTCAGCACTTCTAAAACGAAGCAGAAGACGTAGCTTCACCTTAGCGTTACCTTTAGCTGCTCTTTGTGTTGCTGCTCCAACTCTGGCTGCTGCTGAGGGAGGAGGTGGGCTGCTCTGCTGCTGCTGGGCTGCCATGTGTTCCCTGGCTCGGCGCCGCCGGGCCTGGCTTTTCTCAGCCGGTTGTGGCAGGAGTCCAACTCCCTCAGCAGACGGTCCTTCTCCGCCATCCAGCTTTTCTCCTGAGCCCGAGAGTCGAACTTTAGCTGTAAGAAATCTCTGGTGCTCTCATGCAACAAGTTTTGAGTTTGCTGGAGCCTGAAAAAAAAAAAAAAAAAAAAAAAAAAAAAAAAAAAAAACTTAAATTTTTAAGTCACAACAGAGAATAATTCAAAGAAAATGATGTTTTAGGAAACACACTTTTCTGTCAGAGCTTTGATGCGTTCCTGGTCTCTCTGCTGTTGAGCCTGAGCTTCTTCTGTTTTGATCTTTCGATCCTCAAGCAGAGCTTCTACCTGATCTTTGGTCAAACGAGTCTGTTCCTCCATTTGGGCCTGCAGGGCCTCCACCTTAAATCATGAGCCACATTTAAAAGATGAAATTAAATGAGAGATGACGGCACTCTCGGTTCTAGTTCTGTTTAATGCACTGAGCAGGTGGAGTCCCACCTGYAGCAACAATGTCTGGTTTTCATTCTTGTATTGCTCCAAGTTCTCTTTTTTGAAAMCCTCGGCGGATTTCGTTTTTCTGCTGAACTCTGTTCAAAACGTATAAGCAAAGCAGATAAAACATTATTTTACTTTAAAACTGGTTTTTAACATATAAAACTTGTTGTTTTCAAACCTTTTGACATCGCAGTCGGTCTTAATTTTGTTGGTCTGAGACGAAGACTTTCCTCCAATCTGGACTCGGGATGCTTTTGAGTAATACTGACCTGGAATCAAATGAATCACACTTTTTACAACATTGGTCTTAATCAAGAAATCAACCATAAAAAAATCAAAATAACCTACTAATTCTGAAAATGAAATCTAGAAAGAGCCAGCCTAGATTTAAGAAAACATCTACACATTTTAAAATCCAGCACTGCCTTAGGGCCAAAGTCTAAAAAAACAAACATTACATTATATTTAAAACATAGAAAATCAAAAATTAATCTTCTAAATGCAGCTATAACACTAAATATTTTCTGCCACAGACTGAGTTACAAATAAAAAAAGTGTCTAATAAAAGTAAACCTGTTAGATTGAATGCTACATTTATAGCACTAAATGACTGCTGAGAGAACAAAGTAAAACCTTGTGAGGAGGCTCCTGGTGAAAATATGTGACCTCTCCTGCATCAGGACCAACAAGTGCAAGAAGGTGTTGGATCTTCTTCCTGTCCTCAAACTCTCTGGAGCAATGAGACGATGGTTAAAAACCTTTATTTACAGGTGGGAGATGAAGACAGCAACAGCAATAAGCTATTATTTTTTTCMCTAACTGAATTTAAATAACATATCTAAAAATAAAAACATGAGATTTTTCTGAAAATATTTTTTCCCCAAACATTTAAA